CTCTCACCATGTCAGCTACCCAGCCCTTGCTGTTGTTCTCATCTCTCGCCATGTCAGCTACCCAGCCCTTGTTCTTGTTGTCATCTCTCACCATGTCAGCTACCCAGCCCTTGCTGCTGTTCTCATCTCTCGCCAATGTCAGCTACCCAGCCCTTGCTGTTGTTCTCACCTCTCACCATGTCAAGCTACCCAGCCCTTGCTGTTCTTCTCATCTCTCGCCATGTCAGCTACCCAGCCCTTGCTGTTGTTTCTCACCTTCACCATGTCAGCTACCCAGCCCTTGCTGTTGTTCTCATCTCTCACCATGTCAGCTACCCAGCCCCTTGCTGTTGTTCTCATCTCTCGCCATGTCAGCTACCCAGCCCTTGCTGTTGTTCTCACCTCTCACCATGTCAAGCTACCCAGCCCTTGCTGTTGTTCTCATCTCTCACCATGTCAGCTACCCAGCCCTTGTTCTTGTTCTCATCTCTCGCCATGTCAGCTACCCAGCCCTTGCTCTTGTTCTCATCTCTCCTCCTTCTAGTGATCCTTCAGCACCACATCGTTCTACCCAGCTACTTAAACTCGTTCGTCTTCATTCACTGGTCACTTCCAATTTGCAATACCCCTCCTGCATTATTTCCACTTGACATTTGCCACCATGTACTCCGTCTTTGTCCGACTGATCCTCAACCCATTCACTTCAATCTTTTGCACCCAGATCTTAAAATCATCTTTCACTACTCTCCCTCTGAATATCTCTCATTAGTGTGTCCAGCACCAGGATGAACAGGAAAGAGGCTCGGTGCAACCTCGCTTCACTCCCGTTGTGACTTGAAAGGTCTTCGACACCCCACTGCTGCTTCCCACGTGCATTTTCCCTCCTTCATACACACCCTGGATCAGCTGGACATATACCTCCAGGAATACCTCTTCTCATACACCACAGATGAGCTCTCTAGCCACCCCTGTCGTACGCTTTCTCTAGATCACTAAACACCACATGCAAGTCCCGTTTCTTCTCTCTGAATTCTCCATCAATGCTCTCAGAGCAAAGATTGCATCCATTGTTGACCTTCCCTGTCTGAATCCAAACTGACTCTCGTCAATATCCACCGCTTCCTCAGTCTCCTTTCTATCATCCTTTCCCAGTACCTAAACCCCAGTATTCTACCCCGCATCTATACCCAGCATCTATACCAGTACTTATACCCAGTATCTATAACTCAGTATCTATAACTCAGTACCTAACCCGCAGTAATCTATACCCAGTATCTATATCCAGCATCTATTCCCAGTACCTATACCCAGCATCTATACCCAGCATCTATACCCAGTACCTATACCCAGTGTCTATAACTCAGTATCTATAACTCAGTACCTAAACCCCAGTACCTATACCCAGTACCTATACCCAGTATCTATACCCAGTATCTATACCCAGTACCTAAACCCAGTACCTATACCCAGTATCTATAACTCAGTATCTTAACCCCAGTATCTATACCCAGTACCTATACCCCATTACTTATACCCAGTACCTAAACCCCAGTACCTATACCCAGTACATATACCCCATTGCCTGTACCCAGTACCTATACCCATTACCTGTACCCAGTACCTGTACCCAGTACCTATACCCAGTACCTATACCCCATTGCCTGTACCCAGTACCTATACCCCATTACCTGTAGCCAGTACCTATACCATTACCTGTACCCTTTACCTATACCCAGTACCTATACCCAGTACCTATACCCCATTACCTTTACCAGTATAAAGGGAGTCGGATATGCGACCTTATACTCCACGGGGGGTTTGTTATTTCATTTCCAGGTAGGCGGCAGTGCCCTCAATTAGCCCACGGCCGTGACAAAACCTCACGTGGACCAATCACAAGCTGGCGGACACGACGGAGAACTTCACGTGGTGGCCGAGGGGCGAGTTTGGCACGCGAACAAAAAACAATTGCCGAATCGACGCCTTTTTACTTAAAAACCAAAGTTTCAAGTTGAGATTTTCTTTGCTTAGCCAGCTGGTGAGACAACTCCAGAGACCAGGATGAGCCTCATGCCTGCAGTGACCTGGGGCCGTGAGTCTGCGAGTAGGGGGCGATGATCGCCGCCGCCGCCGCCGCTGCTGCTGCTGTGTATTATTATCAAGTTACACGACGCTGGGTTTAAGTGCGTGCCTATACAGGTCACCATACGTCGATGGTGATTAACTGTGAGCAGCCAATAGCACGTATTGCGATTGTTGGACTCAAAACGGCAGGATGTACATACATCATACACAATGCACATTATGTGTGGGTTAAATGTGAATAACCCAACCAATAATAGATATCCGTAGTAATTTATATGAATACATTTAACACCCCCCACCCAGCTCTTCGCACTTGCTTGGCTCACAAGTGACGTCATCACACCCCCTGTCTATTTAAGACCAAAACAGGAGGAGGATTTCTCCACAACTCTGGCTGTCGCCTGATGATGCTGCCCGTTGTTGTCATTACCAGCGAAACGTCACGGCACTCAAATGGTAAATGCTGTAGTGGGTTTACTCTCCAACACACCGGTGTGCCGAGCTGGTAACTAATTGGCATGTTTTGTTTACATGGCACACCTTACTGATTGGCTGTGTGGGGTGGTGGGGGGTTCACCGACACATTTATATTTACGCGATCGAACCCAAAAAAGAACCTCTCATGGATATTGGTCGTGAAAGCCTGCTACTACGTGTTAAACTTTATAATCCCCAATTTAGTAACTTGCGGCGTCACTTGTCGAATTGGGACCCTGGGTAGTAGGTGCAACATACTCGGCCATGATGATTTCTGCCAAACGCACGAATCAGGCCTCACAATTCCTAATGCCGTATCGAGCGATGTGAAGTGAACGCACGGGGAGAGAGTCGTGTTCTCTGAAACTAGGCCGCTTTATTTCGCAAGCTTCACCTGTTTCAGGGTTACTCGAGTAGTGTGGATTTTTATACACAGGAGGTCGTGGGTTCGATCCCGACCCTGACGCCTGCTGCATAGTTGTAGTTTGCACGTCTCTCTCCCCGTGGTCACGTAGGTTTGTTCTCCCGGTCCTCCGGTTTTTTCTCCACGTTTAGAACCAACATCACGCGTTTAGAGTATTTGGCTGCGATGCATTCCCACGTGATGATGATGAGCCATTTCGTTGAGCTCTCGTTTGTGTTGACCAGGTCGCTTCTGAAGAAGAGCTACACAGCTCAGTGGAGCCTGACCTGGTACAATGAAATACAAATTATAAGTTTTTATACACAGTAGCGGTTGCACGGCGGGTACGAGAGACCATCCATGCAAACAACAAGACGTCCAAAACGGGGGTGACTGTGGGTGAGTCTGTGTGCCTGAGGGGGTGACTGTGGGTACGTTTGCCTGAGAGGGTGACTGCGTGCGTGCGTGCGTCCGTGCGTAGGAGTCCAATATTCACAATGTGTGTGTGCCAAGTTGATGTTTTATACAGGATACGTCATAATAATAATGAAGATGATAATGATGAAGATAATGTTCAGCGCTTTGGGATGAATGGCTTCCGCACACCCGAGTCGGTCATAGGGGTCGTTTGTCCGCGTTTCACCACTTCTGGTCAGTGCGGTATTGGCGAGTTGAAGTCGGTCAATTCGCCTTGACCCCGGGCATCAATCTCAGGTTGCTGGATTCATAGCACGGTGTGCCAACCACTGTGCCACCGCTCCACGCCGCCATCCCTCGGCAGGATATGAATGTATTTAAACAAGAGGCATTCAATAAGTTGTGAGAACAGGTCGTGACTTGACGCACGTACATACCCCACGGTTAACTGTGTACAGCATGGTAACGCAATCGCGCACGTCACCGTTGTGTTTGGGACATAATAGAGGGGGTCTTGTAAATGAAGCTTACAAATACCGTGCTTCTCATTCTCCATATTGTTGACTGCCCCTTGTACAGAGTAAGGGGTGGCAAAGTATTTTTTTTATTTTTGCTATTTACATATTTATTTGATTTTACCATGTAAGGCCCACTCAGCTGTTTATCCCTTTTTCAGAAGCGACCTGGCCACAAATGATAGCTCAACGAAGTGACCTATCAGGTGGGAATTTATAAAAGCCAAATCCTCTGTACTCGTGATGTTCATTCTCAACGTGGAGGGAAAAAACCCGAGGACACGGATCAAAATCCACGTGGCCATTGGTGGAGAGACGCGCAAACTGCAAATATACAGCAGCAGGTGTCAGGGTCGGGATCGAACACACGACCTCCTGCACACCAGGCGATGGAGATAACATCTCGCCACCGTGGCGCCCAAGGCGCTGCCCTGCAATTGCCTGCTCAGACCACTGCTGGTGGAAGGGTCTCTCCGCTAGTGGGAGCTCCAGAGAAACGCCTCTCAAGGGTCCTGCTCCCACGCTACCGCAGCGGCCAGACGATTTGAAAGAGGTGGGGGAGTTACCCACACTGTACCCCACCGCCTACTGCTGGCTGGGGTGGGCGAGGAAGGGATTTAAGAAACTTGTCGTACACAGTATATACCGTCTCCTACATACTGTTAGTTAGCATGCATACAATTACATATAGACACATTGTGTATTTGAAACGGCTGTTGCCATGCAGGAATTTTATACTTTCCAAGATTAAATTCGGCTCGATAAGTTAAGAATGTGAGCGACAAAAAATGTTTGTACAACGATCCCTTCCATATTTTCAAACCGCAGCTCACCGATAGCTCATCACAACGTGCCCACGACGGATCCCGATTGAGCCCCGTTGACGATGGTTTTCCGTTGTTCTTGAAAGACAAAAACACTTTTAAGCGTCCAGGAGTGTCTCCCTGCTCGAGCAGACGAGCAAGATGGTGGGGCCCGTCACATCAATTGGTGGCCCTGAGCCAGTGGACTAAATTCACATTTCCATGCAGGAGGAGTGTGGGGGGGGGGGGCATCAGTCTCTCCACGGGACTACCGTTTGTTGACTTCCCACAAAGCGGTACTCATTTTAATAAGCCTGGAAGGATGATGATGATGATGTTGGGCTTCTGACGACCCCCGACCTCGGTGTTTGACCTCGCGAGTAAGTCGCTCTCCACCCGCCGCAGCGCCGCGCAAGTCCAACCGCGTTTCACAGTCTGACGGACGAAAAAAAATATCGACAGCGGGTGACGCCTCTCCCTCGTACACAGCGGCGACTGGAAAAACGTCGACCGACCGCTTGCAGCCGACCGGCTCGGCGCTCTCCCCCATGGGCGACGTCGCCAACAGCAGCTCGCGACAGAACGGCCGTCTACCATCTGCCGACGGTCGCCAGAGCGAAGCTGTCGCGAGTGTCCCCGGGCACCTGGCGGAAGTGGCGGCGGCGTCGCAAACGCCTCGCCGCAAGTGAACGCCGTTCGCGCTGCCTCACAGCGGGCAATGTGTTCGTCGCAACCGGGTTCCTCGATTGCGCACCGAATATCTGCCGGTGGGTCGCCGGTAGACCGGAGCAGTAGGTGGGTAGCCACGGCCGTAGCAAGAGAGATATATAGATACTGGATGTGGTGTGCCGGGTGGGGAAATATTTTATGGGTCGCTAATCCCCGGACAGATCCGGGCTGAAGTTAAGCCCCCAATGGCCGTTTCAAGTGTTTGGAATGGAGGCCCTCTCCGGAGCAGAGAGAGAGAGGGGCGGGGAGGGGGGCGCCAGCTCATGACTGAACGACTCACAGTTGGAGAAGGCATTTCACAACGTGGTGCCTTCAGAACGCCGGGGGGCAGCCGGAGGTAGCCGACGGCTGGTGTTGGTTGATATCCTGGCCCCTTCAGATGTTGGCTTTTGGCGACACCAAAAAAGGCAAGGCAGTAGCTGCTGCCAGTTTATAGACCAATCAACTTTCTCAGTCGAGTTGCAACAACAACAAAAAACAGTGCCACAAATAATAGCGACGATAATTACAATAATAATAATACAGGCGACGGTAACCTGAGCCTTTCTGTTGTTGCGATAACACCGGGGGCTTCAATTTCTTGCTGAATATCTTCCGGGTCACTAGTAGACTGGAGTAGCAGGTGGCACGTGACTGGTAGCCGATGGATGTGGTGTGCCGGGTGTAGAAATCTTGTCCGAGTCGCTGCTAGCCCGGAGCTGCAGGTGGCACGTGACTGGTAGCCGATGGATGTGGTGTGCCGGGTGTAGAAATCTTGTCCGAGTCGCTGCTAGCCCGGAGCTGCAGGTGGCACGTGACTGGTAGCCGATGGATGTGGTGTACCAGGTGTAGAAATCTTGTCCGAGTCGCTGCTAGCCCGGAGCTGCAGGTGGCACGTGACTGGTAGCCAATGGATGTGGTGTACCGGGTGTAGAAATCTTGTCCGAGTCGCTGCTAGCCCGGAGCTGCAGGTGGCACGTGACTGGTAGCCAATGGATGTGGTGTACCGGGTGTAGAAATCTTGTCCGAGTCGCTGCTAGCCCGGAGCTGCAGGTGGCACGTGACTGGTAGCCGATGGATGTGGTGTACCGGGTGTAGAAATCTTGTCCGAGTCGCTGCTAGCCCGGAGCTGCAGGTGGCACGCGACGAGTAGCAGCCAGTCCGCAGCTGAAGCCACGCGCCGGGCTCGTGGCTGACGCCGAGTGGGGGTTTGCGTGCGGGCCGGCTGCATTATTGACGTCCGGCCCGTCGAGAGAGAAGGCGTTGGGGTTCTGGCGACGTGGAGACGCCGGGGCGGGAGGGCGCTGGGGCCACGGCGTCGCTCGGCCAAACCGGGGCGGCCGTAGGGGCCGTGGGGCCGTGGGGGCCGTGGGAGCCGTGGGGGCCGTGCCGGCTACTTGCAGACGAATCGGTCGACGATCTCTGTGCACATCCTGCACTTGACGTAGCAGCACCAGTGGAACTTGCAGTGGCATCGCTCTACCACCGTGGCTGGGGAGGAGGGGAATGCAGCGGGCGTGAGGCGAAACGTCAGACATCGTGCCGGGCGAACGTGTGGTACCGACCCCCGAACGCACGCCGGAGAGATAATTTGTTGTTGTTGTTGTCATTATATGTCCCCAATTTTTATCCCAATTCATGCGATCACCGTTACGTCACCAGATGAAGAATCCGTATGGGAGCGAGATAAGTTTAAGCTTCTGCAGCTAGCCGAGTGGCTTGGCTGAATCGTAGTGGCTGTGTCAGGGTCAATGAGCCGGCACCTTTTGGATCATGGGCTCGAAGTCGAGTTTCAGCCGCACCATATTTGAACAAAAAATTAACTTTCCCTTATTCCAGAAATTTGCTTACACTCAAATGCGACAGAGACAGCGAAGGGAAAATGCAAGGATTTTGTCACCTTTGTAGTGGTCGTATCCTCTGCCACAGCACATGAGCTCGCAACCGTCGGTGCCCTCGGACGTGCGGTTGCACTGGCGCGCCACCGTGCCGGCGATGCCGCGCGTCTCGTCGTACGTGCAGTAGTCGGGGCTCGCGTCCAAGTAGACGAGGTCGTCCTGCGTGGGCGGCGTGAAGCGCCCGTTCACGGGCTCCAGCTGCGGAGACGACCGCCCGCCGCCGCCGCCGCCACCGGCGCCACCAGCGGCACCAGCGCCACCGCTCCCTTTGCGGCTCACCACCTCATGGCAGCACCTCCGTCGTACTTTTCCTGCAGGCGCCACCACGGTCGTCGTCGTCGTTATCGTCGTCATCATCATCGTCGTCATAGCGCGTGACAGGTGAGGAGGAGCCGAGTGGTTATTGAGTTCATCTGGGGCCCCCCGAGCTGCTTGGGACCCTGGCGTGTGTTTGCTCGGTTTGCTTGGGCCTAGCGCCACCACTAGGCTATGGTTGCAGGGGCCCTCCCGGCGAATGCGTCCCGGTGGCGATCGGCTCCATCACAGACATGACAGTGGCCCATTGTTTTCTATTGGAAGTTGCGTGCCCAGTGTGTAGAGCGAGGCCTACTGCAGGCTGTGCACCAGCGGTGTTCAGCGACGTCATCTCCCTGGGATTATTCCTTTGACACAGGTTGATGCACTGCTAGCTGCAGCGTTCAGAATCAGAATCAGAAACGGTTTTAATCGCCATGTAAGTTTGCACAAACAAGGAATTCACTATGGCGGGACGGTGCATACATTGAACAAGTAGGAATCTTAACTTTATAAAAGGTATACACTCTAACTATACTAACGTTACAAAGTATAAGTAATACCAAAGGGCTAAAATCTTTAAAATTATGAATAAGTAGACCTTATAAAATGCGAATGTAAAATGTTAATTAGCCGTATTAAACAATCTTAAAATACAAAATACAAATAAGATTACACGTTGTAAGTATGGAAAGGTGTAATTATGTAGATAAAATGTTATAGTAAGTGTAACAGTCATTTTAAGTGTAAAAGTCATTTTAAGCCCTTGGCCTTGTTGAGGAGGCCAACAGCAGATGGGAAAAAACTGTTTTTATGACGTGAGGTTTTGGTCTTGATGGACCGCAGCCTTCTGCCGGAGGGGAGTAGCTGGAACAGAGAGTATCCAGGGTGCGAGGAATCGTCCGCAATCTTCCTCGCTCGCTTCAGGGTCCTCAAAGTGTGCAGGTCCTCAAGGGTTGGTAGATTACAGCCAATCACCTTCTCAGCAGTGCGGATGATACGCTGCAGTCTGCTCTTGTCTTTGGCAGTTGCAGCAGCGTACCAGACGGTGATGGAGGAGGTGAGGAACTGAATGATAGCTGTATAGAAGCACACCATCATTGTCTTTGGTTCCGAATGGCAATTTCTCACAACCAAGGCAAGATGCCTCGTAAAATTCTGGTGATAAGTGTCACGTGCAGCTGATGTATCATCATTGCTCATGATGTCTCGTTCGTTAGCTACATCCAAAATGCATTCATTAAAGAATTAAAGTGCAGTTCACAAGGGGCATTAATAACTTTCATCCGGGTAATGAGTAGCACGGCATCTCTATAGATTCGTGAATTGCTCACTATCTCTATAGATTTGTATCTGTCCTATAGATAATTATCCAAGTGTAGTGTAATAGCGCCGGCTGGTGGACAGCAGCGGCAACTGTGGTGGACAGACAGCGCACACGCCGGTGAGGGCGTGCACGGGGTGTGGGCAGGCGGAGGAACTGGGGCAAGGGTCACGGAGGATCACATTCGGAGGCCCCTGGAACCTGCTAGCGAGTTCGAGAAGGGAGGCGCGGTCAGGGCGGAGCCAGGCCGCGCTGGGGAGCATAAAAGGAGCCGAAAGCAGGGGGGGGGGGGGCTCGTGGCTGCCGGTTCTAGGAGTGGACTCGTCTCGTTGTCGCTCTCATCTCGTCGCCGTCGTCGCTGCCATCTTCGCTAGATGTTGCGCTCGAAGGAGAGTAGTTGGCTATCTCAGTCAGTGCCGTCAGTGTTTGACGGCTAGGGTTGTGTACAGGCGAGGTTGAGCTACAGTGGAGAGTGTGTGGACGAGACAGTGAAGTTGTTAATGAAGAAAGTCCCTCCTAGAAACTTTGTCTCTGAATCGTTGACACTACACAAGCAAAAATAAACTGTGGAAAATTTGCACGATATTGGGAAAAAATATCTTGTCAGACGAAGGAAGCGCATGAGGAAACTCATGGCTGTGAACCGAACCGACGGTGGATTGCTCCATCCTCGCCACCCACGACCAATCGCCCATTGTGCACCCGGCAATGTGGCCACTGGTCCAACTGCAGTCCCAAACCCAGAGAGGATGGGTCTCAGTCAGCTCGGGTTTGATTCTATTATTATAAACACACGTCCACACGGTCCGCGTAAAATCGCATGAAGTGACGAGGTTGGCGCGACAGACACCGTGGCGCATGGAATGAACCGAGGCCCCGTGGCCTCACTTCGCCTCTCACCCTCTGCAGTGTCACCGCCTGCACGCTCCACCCCCTCTGGGCAGCTGCGCTCACCTTGAGGCGGTCCCCGACTCGACGGAAGTCGGCGAGCTGCAGCCAGCAGGTCTTGAGCGAGCAGGAGCCCGACACGCCGTGGCACTTGCACGCGACGTCCGCTAGGCTGTACACCGCCTGCAGTGCCACGCCGTGATCACCACAGCCGTCACCACCAACATCATCATCACCACCACCATCATCATTACCATCATCACCACCAACATCATCATCACCACCACCACCAAGATCATTATCACCACCACCGCCATCATCACCACTATCAGCACCAACATCACCATAATTACCACGAACACCACCATCACACCACCATTGCTATCCCCAACACCATTATCACTACCACTACCAACATCACCACCATCATCACCATCACCACCCCCATCATCACTACCGCCATCATCACCACCACCATCATCATCACCACCACCATCATCACCACCTTAATTACCACCACCACCACCAACAGCATCATCACCATCCCCACCACAATTACCACCACCATCTTCACCACCACAATTACCACCACCATCTTCACCACCATAATTATCACCACCATCTTCACCACCATAATTACCACCATCATCATCACTACCATCACCACCGCCAGCCCCGTTTTTCGCAGTCCTGATCCAGTGGTGGAAATTCCGCATTCCCCGTTGAGTTGTTAAGAAT